TAGTCTAGTCTATAGTCTAGTCTATAGTCTAGTCTATAGTCTAGTCTATAGTCTAGTCTATAGTCTAGTCTATAGTCTAGTCTATAGTCTAGTCTATAGTCTAGTCTATAGTCTAGTCTATAGTCTAGTCTATAGTCTAGTCTATAGTCTAGTCTATAGTCTAGTCTATAGTCTAGTCTATAGTCTAGTCTATAGTCTAGTCTATAGTCTAGTCTATAGTCTAGTCTATAGTCTAGTCTATAGTCTAGTCTATAGTCTAGTCTATAGTCTAGTCTATAGTCTAGTCTAGTCTAGTCTATAGTCTAGTCTATAGTCTAGTCTATAGTCTAGTCTATAGTCTAGTCTATAGTCTAGTCTATAGTCTAGTCTATAGTCTAGTCTATAGTCTAGTCTATAGTCTAGTCTATAGTCTAGTCTATAGTCTAGTCTATAGTCTAGTCTATAGTCTAGTCTATAGTCTAGTCTATAGTCTAGTCTATAGTCTAGTCTATAGTCTAGTCTATAGTCTAGTCTATAGTCTAGTCTATAGTCTAGTCTATAGTCTAGTCTATAGTCTAGTCTATAGTCTAGTCTATAGTCTAGTCTATAGTCTAGTCTATAGTCTAGTCTATAGTCTAGTCTATAGTCTAGTCTATAGTCTAGTCTATAGTCTAGTCTATAGTCTAGTCTATAGTCTAGTCTATAGTCTAGTCTATAGTCTAGTCTATAGTTAGTCTATAGTCTAGTCTATAGTCTAGTCTATAGTCTAGTCTATAGTCTAGTCTATAGTCTAGTCTATAGTCTAGTCTATAGTCTAGTCTATAGTCTAGTCTATAGTCTAGTCTATAGTCTAGTCTAGTCTATAGTCTAGTCTATAGTCTAGTCTAGTCTATAGTCTAGTCTATAGTCTAGTCTATAGTCTAGTCTATAGTCTAGTCTATAGTCTAGTCTATAGTCTAGTCTATAGTCTAGTCTAGTCTATAGTCTAGTCTATAGTCTAGTCTATAGTCTAGTCTATAGTCTAGTCTATAGTCTAGTCTATAGTCTAGTCTATAGTCTAGTCTATAGTCTAGTCTATAGTCTAGTCTATAGTCTAGTCTATAGTCTAGTCTATAGTCTAGTCTATAGTCTAGTCTATAGTAGTCTATAGTCTATAGTCTAGTCTATAGTCTAGTCTATAGTCTAGTCTATAGTCTAGTCTATAGTCTAGTCTATAGTCTAGTCTATAGTCTAGTCTATAGTCTAGTCTATAGTCTAGTCTATAGTCTAGTCTATAGTCTAGTCTATAGTCTAGTCTATAGTCTAGTCTATAGTCTAGTCTATAGTCTAGTCTATAGTCTAGTCTATAGCCTAGTCTATAGTCTAGTCTATAGTCTAGTCTATAGTCTAGTCTATAGTCTAGTCTATAGTCTAGTCTATAGTCTAGTCTATAGTCTAGTCTATAGTCTAGTCTATAGTCTAGTCTATAGTCTAGTCTATAGTCTAGTCTATAGTCTAGTCTATAGTCTAGTCTATAGTCTAGTCTATAGTCTAGTCTATAGTCTAGTCTATAGTCTAGTCTATAGTCTAGTCTATAGTCTAGTCTATAGTCTAGTCTATAGTCTAGTCTATAGTCTAGTCTATAGTCTAGTCTATAGTCTAGTCTATAGTCTAGTCTATAGTCTAGTCTATAGTCTAGTCTATAGTCTAGTCTATAGTCTAGTCTATAGTCTAGTCTATAGTCTAGTCTATAGTCGTCTATAGTCTAGTCTATAGTCTAGTCTATAGTCTAGTCTATAGTCTAGTCTATAGTCTAGTCTATAGTCTAGTCTATAGTCTAGTCTATAGTCTAGTCTATAGTCTAGTCTAGTATAGTCTAGTCTAGTCTAGTCTATAGTCTAGTCTAGTCTAGTAGTCTAGTCTATAGTCTAGTCTAGTCTATAGTCTAGTCTAGTCTAGTCTAGTCTAGTATATAGTCTAGTCTAGATAGTCTAGTCTATAGTCTAGTATAGTCTAGTCTATAGTCTAGTCTATAGTCTAGTCTATAGTCTAGTCTATAGTCTAGTCTATAGTCTAGTCTATAGTCTAGTCTATAGTCTAGTCTATAGTCTAGTCTATAGTCTAGTCTATAGTCTAGTCTATAGTCTAGTCTATAGTCTAGTCTATAGTCTAGTCTATAGTCTAGTCTATAGTCTAGTCTATAGTCTAGTCTATAGTCTAGTCTATAGTCTAGTCTATAGTCTAGTCTATAGTCTAGTCTATAGTCTAGTCTATAGTCTAGTCTATAGTCTAGTCTATAATCTAGTCTATAGTCTAGTCTATAGTCTAGTCTATAGTCTAGTCTATAGTCTAGTCTATAATCTAGTCTATAGTCTAGTCTATAGTCTAGTCTATAGTCTAGTCTATAGTCTAGTCTATAGTCTAGTCTATAGTCTAGTCTATAGTCTAGTCTATAGTCTAGTCTATAGTCTAGTCTATAGTCTAGTCTATAGTCTAGTCTATAGTCTAGTCTATAGTCTAGTCTATAGTCTAGTCTATAGTCTAGTCTATAGTCTAGTCTATAGTCTAGTCTATAGTCTAGTCTATAGTCTAGTCTATAGTCTAGTCTATAGTCTAGTCTATAGTCTAGTCTATAGTCTAGTCTATAGTCTAGTCTATAGTCTAGTCTATAGTCTAGTCTATAGTCTAGTCTATAGTCTAGTCTATAGTCTAGTCTATAGTCTAGTCTATAGTCTAGTCTATAGTCTAGTCTATAGTCTAGTCTATAGTCTAGTCTTAGTCTAGTCTATGGTCTAGTCTATAGTCTAGTCTATAGTCTAGTCTATAGTCTAGTCTATAGTCTAGTCTATAGTCTAGTCTATAGTCTAGTCTATAGTCTAGTCTATAGTCTAGTCTATAGTCTAGTCTATCTAGTCTATAGTCTAGTCTATAGTCTAGTCTATAGTCTAGTCTATAGTCTAGTCTATAGTCTAGTCTATAGTCTAGTCTATAGTCTAGTCTATAGTCTAGTCTATAGTCTAGTCTATAGTCTAGTCTATAGTCTAGTCTATAGTCTAGTCTATAGTCTAGTCTATAGTCTAGTCTATAGTCTAGTCTATAGTCTAGTCTAGTCTATAGTCTTGTCTAGTCTATAGTCTTGTCTAGTCTATAGTCTTGTCTAGTCTATAGTCTAGTCTATAGTCTAGTCTATAGTCTAGTCTATAGTCTAGTCTATAGTCTAGTCTATAGTCTAGTCTATAGTCTAGTCTATAGTAGTCTATAGTCTAGTCTATAGTCTAGTCTATAGTCTAGTCTATAGTCTAGTCTATAGTCTAGTCTATAGTCTAGTCTATAGTCTAGTCTATAGTCTAGTCTATAGTCTAGTCTATAGTCTAGTCTATAGTCTAGTCTATAGTCTAGTCTATAGTCTAGTCTATAGTCTAGTCTATAGTCTAGTCTATAGTCTACTCTATAGTCTAGTCTATAGTCTAGTCTATAGTCTAGTAGCTATAGTCTAGTCTATAGTCTAGTCTATAGTCTAGTCTATAAGTCTAGTCTATAGTCTAGTCTATAGTCTAGTCTATAGTCTAGTCTATGTCTAGTCTAGTCTATAGTCTAGTCTATAGTCTAGTCTATAGTCCTAGTCTATAGTCTAGTCTATAGTCCAGTCTATAGTCTAGTCAGTCTATAGTCTAGTCTATAGTCTAGCTATGTAGTCTATAGTCTAGTCTATAGTTTAGTCTATAGTCTAGTTTATATTCTAGTCTATAGTCTAGTCTATAGTCTAGTCTATAGTCTAGTCTATAGTCTAGTCTATAGTCTAGTCTATAGTCTAATCTATAGTCTGGTCTATAGTCTAGTCTATAGTGCTAGTCTATAGTCTAGTCTATAGTCTAGTCTAGTCTAGTCTATAGTCTAGTCTATAGTCTAGTTTATAGTCTAGTCTATAGTCTATTCTATAGTCTAGTCTAGTCTAGTCTATAGTCTAGTCTATAGTCTAGTATATAGTCTAGTCTATAGTCTAGTCTATAGTCTGGTCTATAGTCTAGTCAATAGTCTAGTCTATAGTCTAGTCTATAGTCTAGTCTATAGTCTAGTCTATAGTCTAGTCTATAGTCTAGTCTATAGTCTAGTCTATAGTCTAGTCTATAGTCTAGTTTATAGTCTAGTCTATAGTCTAGTCTATAGTCTAGTCTAGTCTATAGTCTAGTCTAGTCTATAGTCTAGTCTATAGTCTAATCTATAGTCTAGTCTATAGTCTAGTCTTTAGTCTATTATATAGTTTAGTCTATAGTTTAGTCTATAGTCTGGTCTATAATCTAAAGTCTACATAGTCTATAGTATAGTCTATAGTCTATTATATAAATTGTGCTTTATTGTTTATAGTCTAGTCTACAATCTAGTCTATGGTCTAGTCTGTAGTCTAGTCTATAGTCTAGTCTAAGCCATGATAAAGGACATTTTATGAGCTGAAATGATAGATTGGAAACTTATTTTGAATGAACTTGGTTTGGGAAAAATGTCATGTTCATAGTATTTATTACAAAATTCATTACAATCTCATCCCAATATAATAAATTGTTCAAAAGCCTGAAAACTTTTGAAAGTTTGGACTTCTCTGCACAAATGTCATTATGTACTGAAAAGGGTTAATTTGTTTTTAATACGATTTGTAAATTAGTATATACGATAAATAGTTAAAACTAATTTTAATAACAGCATTTTAAATAAATTCTTATGAAATACTTGCTTAATTATGTCTATTTAATTATTTTTAAGTAATAATTTTTCCCATAATAATGTACATTTCTTTTTTACTTTTCTTCCTTTCATTTTGAATACGATTTCTATTAAATTATGCTTTATTGATATCCTGATATAACCAACAACAACAACAACTCTCATATATGATGCGGTATGTATGTATATGTATTTATTGGTTTTGTATTTTATCGAATTATTAAACGATTTCAATGGATATAAATACCTTTGCATGTGTGTGTTTACTTGTGTGTGTGTAAATAAAATAAAAACAATAAAAAACCCATCAATAAACTCAAATCAAATCATCTACCGACCGAACGAATGCATAAACCGATACAACAACACGTTTAATAAATGCCAACAAAAACAAAAACCAACAACGGCAACGACGACGACGATAATAAAACTCATATGCATACAATGATAATATTAACCCTGTACCAATAACGTGTGTCTCTAACTGTTACTGCCTGCCTCTTTCTAACGGCTCTTATATCTTTTCTATCAAAATTCTCGACTATGTATTTGTATGTGTGTGTCTGATGTTAATCTATATTTAAATCATCAATGCCACGTTATCAATACCGTTTATTTATGTTGTTGTTGTTGTGCTAAAACGACATACGATCTACGGTCATTGTGCTAATGCGGCATATCTTGTGCATTCTGAAAAATAAAACAATAAAAACAAACAAATTATCTGTTTTTGTCATTTCAAAACAATAACTAAACATCCCAACCCACCCACTTTTTGGTCACCCATATTCAACTCACTGTCTATTAATGGCAACAAACTAAAAACCTCTCATCTAACGGGTTTTCTATTTCCCCCTTTTCCATTTTAATACGCATGTTCTACGTATACTCTACGTAACAGATATTGCAGACAACTTGGCTGTAGCAACAGCAGTTGTAGTTGTTCTGTATTATTAAAAAAAATTAAACAAGATATAAATTTAAAAATAACAACTGGCGTTTATCACTACAATTAGAGTAACTGAAGAGAGTAAAAGAGCAAGTGTTAGAGAGTAAAGCGGTGGGTGAGCAAGTGAGTTATACTTTGGGAAGCCTGAGAAGGTTGTGGGTGAAAAGCTCAAGTTAAATACAAACGCACAAATACAAATAATAATGGCGAATCCACGTAAATTTAGTGAAAAAATCGCTTTACAAAAGCAAAAACAAGCTGAGGGTACAGCTGAATTTGAGAAAATTATGAATGAGGTTAAGGCAACCAGAGTCGTAGATAATGTCCTAGGCAACACAGATCTAACCGATGGTAATGGTTTACATAGAAATGCTAGTTTAAGTGGCGGTAGTGGTGGCAGTGGTACAAGTAGTGGAGCCAGTGGTGGTGGTGCTTCTCCGGATGCAAATGCTGGAGGTAGTGGAAGTATAGGAGGCGGTGGCGGAGGAGGAGGTGGTGGTGGTGGTATTGGTATAATAAACACAACATCTGGCTCTCCCACATATCGAGAATCAAGAGGCCGCAGTGTAGGTGTTGGCCCCATGAGAAGACCCTCGGAACGTAAACAAGATCGATCTCCCTACGGTAGTACCGCCAGCGGTCTTATGCTAAGCGGTGTAACGCAACAAACACAAAACAGTTATTTAAGTCCACCCATGGATAGTAGTAGTTGGAGACGTTCAAATTCCGATTCTGCTTTACATCAAACGCTTAACAATTTGACAGAGGGAAATTTTGGCGCATCCAGTCCAGTACCCAGTATGGGCGATATAAATTCTCTGCATGCCAATTATCACCATCATCATCAACATCAAACTCATAACAGCCAAAGATCTCAATCGCCCAATATAGGGCGCAGTTATAGTCCACAAGCACAAAGAAGAAAAAACACATTGCTACAGCAACAACAGCAGCAACTACAACAGCAACAACTGCAGCATCAACGTTTACAAATGCAGCAGCAACAACAAGCACAACAACAGCACCAACAGCTACAGCAACATTTACAAAATCAACAACAAAGTTTACAGCAGCAACAACAGCAGCAGCAGCAACAACATTTGCATCACCACCAACAACAGCAACAACAATATGTCAATGCCAAATACAACAACTCCAATATCATGTTCAAATCCCTGCACGAACAGCAATTATCATTTAACAACACCGGCTCATTACCCGACTTAACTTCCCTACACTATGCGAACCAACCAAATGCAACCAATAACAGCAGCACACAAATGATGCCAACAACAGCAACACAACAGCAACAGACTCTTTCGCCCATCCTATCGCCACATCATAATAATGGATGTCATGATCGGGATCAGTCGCCTAGTCCCTTTAGTCCTCCCAGTACAGCAGGTGGAGGTAATAGTGGGGGTGGCCCTCCCTCTCCATACCATCAACAGGAAAATTCTCCAACATCTGCCACCAATACCCCCACAGCTAATGTTCAAACCTCACCGCATTTGTCCTTTACCAACTTGTCTGTACAATCGCCCGTGAATGTACAGCAAACGAACACAGCACAAAATACAGCCGCTGCCCTTAACACATTGCCAACACTGGGTAATCTAACGGACTATCGTCAACCATTAAATCCACCCAGTCCTGGTTCTTCCCCCGGCCTTTTAACATCGGGCCCAGCCAACGATATACACACAAGTGCACCGCCTAGTCCCATAAGACATTGTCAAAGTAATCTGAATTCCTCCGTTAGCGGAGCGAATAGTAGTCAAAACCCACAAAACCAAATACCAACACAAAGTTTACAAACCACATTTGGGAATCTGGACTCCAACACTGGTTATAATACGCTTAATCCTGCTTTTCATAATCACTTCGAACAGTTTCATCTGGGAGATAATAGTCAGTCGCCGCAAAATAATTACGATGCTTTGGAATTTGAAGACTTGGGCATGGGCAACCAGCAACACAATAACTTTAATACTAAAATAATAGACTTTGGAGATTTGACAACACCGTCATCCAATACCCCGTCAAATACAACAAGAACGAACTCAACAAATAGCACATCCAACTGTAATAATAATAACAATTTACCACAACAACAGCAGCAGCAGCGAAATAACTCCCAACAATTCCAACATCACCATCAACAGCAACAACTTTTAAACAATAATTCGACCACAAGTAGCACGAGTAGTAATGCGAATAGCAATGGTCCTGCGAATGCCTGTAGAACAGGTCTGATGAATAACAATGATAGACAAGACATATTATCGGCCAATTCATCACCCATACCTTCGCCTTTATCACATGGTGTGCCACCACCTTCCTCGCCCTTACCTATACCTATGTCAGCACATTCGCCACATCAGCAGCAGCTGTCGTTATCGGTCCAAACATCGCCACATCATTCGCCTATGCATTCGCCGCATCACTCGCCTTCCCCTTTGTCGGTATCATCACCCGGTCTGACAATGTTGGGTGGTAGTGTATCGCCTGTACCTTCACCATCCGCGCACATAATGCAGCAACAACAACAGCAGCAGCAGCATAATCATCATCTAAATAATCAAACAGCGAATCAAATGCATCACAATCAAACGCAATCATCACACAACAATCATCATCATCACCATCATCATCAACAGCAGCAGCAGCAACAGAATCAAGCACACATACCTACAACCACTACAAATATACCCCAAATTATATTCTCCGATTATTCCTCATCGCGTGATATCTTCGATAGTCTCGACCTTGATTTGGGTCCTATCGATGGCGCCGGATTACAAATGCTATCGGAACAAAATCCCATCATGATTGCCGATCCCTCAATAGAGGATAGTTTTCGTAGAGATCTTAACTGATACTACGAGGAAGCTGTTGCAGCTATTGAGAGTGGTATCCTCTTAGAGGACTCGTTCGATCCCCTAGGTCCGCTTGTCGATGTAACAGAAGTATTAGGCAATCCTCCCCTGGCAACACAACTTCATCATCATCATGTAAATAAACCTCAAAATGATGACACCACCTCCTCCAACTGTGCCATTGGTTGCGGTGTAGGCGGCGGCGGCATTGGCATTGACACCACCAACAGCATTTGTGGTGAGGAACTAAATGATACCCATGTTAATAGAGACGATATCTTAAGCAGCTTAAACGACCAACTCAACGACGAGGCTCACGATGATGAAGACGATGAGGTACGAAATTTCTTTTTCTAAATCATGTCATTTCGAATCATTATATTACATATAGATAGACCCGGCATAGTAAAACTGACTTGTAACCTCTAGCATAGAAGAGAGCGCCAAAGAACTGAAGCAAATTTATATACATATTTGGTTAAAAAAATAGTTTAGAACAGTCCCCTCCCCTCCTCTCTTGGTAAAGCAAATGCAACAGCCTGAACTTGATAAGCTTTCAAATAACCTAAATTACCATGTACAGAATTTAAGCTATAGCGGAGGAAGTATTTCTGAAATTTAAGAGAGAATGTTTTCTATATTATTTCGATTGAAATATTCTATAAGTTGCTGGTATGAATGGTTTCATTTGTGCCATAAAAGGATCTATTATATATGCCGATCTACTTAAATTCAAAATACTTTAAAAATGATATTGTTGGATCGTTTAACAGTCAAAATCAGCTGTGCTGAAGTGTTATAAATACAAAGGCTATTTATTAGTTCCTTATAAATACTATTTGTCCTATTTTAGACCTTTTTAAAAACGTTTTAATTTATGGATTTGTTGATCATATTTCCTGTGATATATATTATATTTCGATAGACCAGATACAAGTCTATTATACGGTGGGACAAAATTACTAAATGTGAATATACTCACCACGTGGACGAGTGCAATTTGGGGAATAAATCCCGATCTACTTAGCAAGTTCAATAGATCGCACTTGATCATATGCTGAGTAATTTTTTGCCGTGAAACAGCAGCACTTATAGGAGAAAAGCTTTTGTTTTAGACTCTAGTTTAAAATGTTCGTTCTCTTAAATTTCATAAATATTTTCCGTCAATTTCAAAATCTTACAAAATTTAATTTGTATTAAACACAACAACAACAACAAAAAATGTAAAATCAAAGAACAGGTTCTTAATGAGTTTTAAATCTAATTTAATTAAACAAAAAATTTAATTAAAACGTATTTGGTACAAAAACAAAACAAACAAAGAAATATTTATATATATTTATATACAATATTAAATTAAATTAAATAAAATCAATATGTGCAATAAAATCGAATTATAGGGAAGTATTAAAACAAAAAGCAACAACAAAAAAGAAATAAATTCAATCAAAATCAAAAGTCATAAAAACAAACAACAAAAACAAAACACAAAAATATATTATATAGAAAAATTAATAACAGAGATTACATTAACGATCAGCCAGCTCCCTTTAAACCCCTTAATCCAAAAGTGTCTTAGACCCGTGTGACAAAAGAAACATACTTATGCATCACATCACACATTACATCTCACAACAACCGCAACCGAATTGCTGATAATATTAAAAATAAAACATAAAACAAACTTCATAAAAACTATATAAAAAAAAACATATTTTATCCGCGCTAATATTTATATATTTTACAAATTAAAATCAACACAGTTTTACTACAAATTATGATCGAATACAATTATAAAAAATAGTCAAATAAATGTGAACCTACACTGAAAAAAAATTTGTAATCTTGCATTCATTAAATGTTGAAACACACATAAAGTAAAATAAATAGTTTTTAATAGATATTTTGTTTATAAAGAGAATTTATACATAATTTTTTTTTTGGAATATCTCACCAAAATTCCATTATGATAGCCGATCCCTTAATAGAGTATAGTTTTCGCGGAGATATTAACTGATATTAGGAGTAAGCTATATTCTCATAGATATTTGGAAATTGGAAATATTTAGGATTTTTTTAAGAAAATATCAGAAACATCAAATTATGAGATTTCGGATCAAGATTTATAAACGCAATACCTAAACTCACAAAATATTAACAAACCCCGTGAGAGAGCTCTCTAATATCTTATATTTACAAAGAGATATTGGAGAGAGTTACAAACGTGCTCTCTAACAAGTTTAGTTAGTTTCCTATGTATGTATGTATATGTGAGCAATAGAACTTTTTGCCTATTTCTACTCTAAAATGAAAAAGTCTTCCTCTCTCTCTCGCCGATTAATCTCTAAAATGGTCAATGCAGAGATTTATAAACTATTTAAGGACCTTTTATAAGAACATATGTATCTAAACTCACAAAAAATGGTTAAAACCCGTCAGAGAGTTCTCTACCAATATCATATCTACAAACAGACATCTGAGAGAGTTACAAGCGAGCCTTCTAACAAGTTTTGTTTGTCTATCTCTACTTTCAAAGTAAAAAATTTACTTCTCTCTCTCTCTCTCTCTGATAAATCTCTATTTTACATACAGTCATTTCCACTAATATGTAACCACCTGGTTGACCCATTCGTCATCAATGTAATCTTCGTAAAAGAGAGCGAACAATCTTTACTCTACCTACCTAGTCGAGAGCGAATACGCTCGTCATTTTACTGTATTCTAGTTAAACGAGAGAGGGATTATTTGAAATTAGATTTTTGTATCAATTGTCCATTTGTAGTCGAAGTGTTACTTGGTTAATATCTCTAAAGAAATGACCTCCTAGGACATGCCCATATTAAAGTAAGTGGGGTGAGACCCTAAGTTGTGGGTTAACTAGTTACTAGCATAACTTCTGGTCTCAGCAATCCCAGCAGTTCGACAAAGAGTCAATGCATCGGAAAAAGACTATGATACCCACTAACGTCTAACCACCTGGTTGCTTCTAATTCGTCTTTCGTGACGGATGTACTCTTTGTAAACGAGGATGAAGATAATCTTCACATTAGTGTCCCTTTGTAAGCGACAGAGTGGACACTTAAAAAATAAACTTAAGCTTTGATTGACGATTAACTTCCTTGTAGGACAAGCACATGTAAAAATAGCTAGTCACCTGGGCATTCAGTGGCTAGGGGTAACCCTAAGTGGTAGGGATTCGACAGAGTCATTGCATGCGAAAAAAAAGACAGTCATTTCGTCTAACATCTACGAATCTCTTTGTAAACAAGGGTGAATACAGTCCTTTGTATCTTTTGTAAGTGAGAGCGGTGGCAATCGTCACTTTACAGTCACCGAGTAATCTATAAAGTGGAAACGTAAAAAAAAACTTAAATGAATTGGATTATTGCCAGGTATTGCCAATAATGCACCTTTGTAATCTACAAAGGTGCCTACTAGGACCTAAGACAAGCACATGTCCTAACCTAAACCCTAAGTAGAACAGCTGGGCACTTTTTTTAGAATTGTATAAATGTGTGGGTTGCCATCTGTTCGAAAAAGTTATCCGTTAATTGCATTAATTTTTATTAACACCTAACCTTCAGGTTGATTCTCTAATGCGTATGTACTATTTGTAAGCGAGAGTGAAGACAGTCATCACTTTAGTGTCCCTTTTGTAAGCGATATCGAAGACAGTTGTCAATTCACTGGCTTCAAGTAATCTAGTGAATAGACACTTCAAAAAAACTCAAGTGAAAATGTTCATGGCCAATAAGTGGGTTCTCATCTGTTCGATAAATTTATCCGAAAATTACATTTATTTTTATTAACATCTAACCTTCAGGTTGGCTCTCTAATGCGTATGTACTCTTTGTAAGCGAGAGTGAAGACAGTCACCACTTTAGTGTCCCCTTTGTAAGCGAGAGAGAAGACAGTTGTCAATTCACTGGCCTCAAGTAATCTAGTGAATAGACACTTCAAAAAAAAAAAACTCAAGTGAAGGTGTAGGTTTTAGAATTATCATCGTGCTGGTACTTTTAAGTGCCAAACTTCATATAAAAATGAATTCGCTCTCTTTGGCTAAATTCGCATTTTATTCGCTCTAGAAAAGCATAAGATTGCGTGATACACGTTAAGCATTTCCAGAATCCACTGACGTATGTATATCTATCCCATAGTGTGATCGATTTTGATTTAATATTGAGTAATATTGACTCCTGACTGACTTAAAACCTCGGGAAATAAATACTTTCAAATAGAATAAATTGTCAGGGAATCATATGTTTAGTTGGAGCTCAGTGATATCTGCAACATTATTAAAAATACTGGGGGCTTTGTACATCAAGTTCCACTTTACTTTAAAATAAAAAGAATCGTAAACTACTCTCTTTAGAATTACTTAGTCTCTAACGCGCGGGACGCGGTACTAAGAAATTAAAGTAAAACAAATTTTGACACGTTTCACTGTCTGGTATTTTCAATTAAAAAATAGTTAGTCCCTCTCAAAGCGAGCTCATACAAAATGGAGTTATTTAAACAACTATTTAAGACAACAGTGAGGAATTGAGGGTGAAAAACTAGGAGCAATATTATACGATATAATAGCAAATTATTCTTTGGCGGACACTATGAAACTTTATGGAATTATACGAATTACTCTTATGGTCATTATGACTCACCACAGGAGAATGCATTTGGAATGCATTTGCCTTATGCAAGGTCGAATAATTAATCTTTTTATGAAAAGAGTTTTACAGTTCTGGCTTTGGCTTGATCAAGGCGATTCTATATAAAATGAAGTTACTGACCTATTTACAAAAAAATTAAGCGAATTCGTTATATTTTTATATATATATGAAGTTTGACAGTGAAGAAGGAAGAAAATATTACAGATTTAAAATTTTTATCTTAAAATCGGCAGGTTGAACTTTCAGAGGATTAGGTCATTTTATAAACGTAAATGTCCCTAATAAGGCCAAAACGACTTCCTAAATCCTCAAGTAACGCATAAATTCTGATTTCAGATTCAATTTGATCCTTTAAAGAAGTATACTTTATACTGTGGGTTAAAAACTTGTTGAACTGTGTAATCGTATGAATAGATATAAAATCCTTATACATTTTTTATACAAAAAAAATTATGCCAGAAAATTGTACAATTCTCAAATAGTTTATAAACAAAATATCTTAAAAACAAGAAATAAGAAAATTTTATTAAACCTTTAATAACTGCAAAAACAACCATTTAACCACAAATACAATTTAATTAACACTAAATATTTTTTAATTAAATTAAACTTCCAAAGTTTCTTAAACGAAAAAAATTAATTAAAAAAATTGTTTGATATAATTAAAACTACTACTTCCTATCGTTAAAATACTACCTATAACTACACAGAACTGTTTATTATTTTTTTATATATGTATGTGTAAATGTATATATAAATATATATATAATTTTAAAGACGATTTATTTTTAAAATATAACGAACGATATCAAAAACAACTCTGATAGAAAGCCTATTCAAAAAAAAAATACTAAAAATTAAAACATTATTCTACTCCATTTTACTCTTATTCTTATAAAATAAAAAAAATAAAACAAAAAAAAAAAGAACGAAACTTAATAAGCTTTATGTCCTCTGAAAAACAAAAAAAATAATTGTAAAATATTTATAATAAAAACAAATAATTTTTAAATTATTAAAAATTTTAAAAAAGAAAACTACTTTCTGTACCATTTTTAAGTTTAATATAAAAAACTAAACAACAGCAACAACAAATTTAATTGTTAATTAAAAAAAATATTGTATAAAAAAAAACTGAAAACGTCATTAGTTGTTAAAAAAAATAAAATATTTTTTTTATTTTGTTTTTAATTTTTTTTTTTAATATTTAAATGTTTGCTTACAATTTTTTTTAAATATAATTATACATAAATATAAATTAAACATATTTTTATTATATACAATACCATAAAATTAAATAAAATAAAATAAATATATATTTTTTTCTTAAAGAAATTATTATAATATTTAGGTCTTAACGATTTTTTTTGATTAAAAACTTATGAAATAAAATAAAATCTTAATAAAAAGTGAAAAAGAAACATTAAACTAATGAAAAAATAAATAATTTTTTCGATGTCAATGCTGAGATAAAATTTAATTGTATAATATTATAATTGTAATATATTTAATAATTTATAATAAATAATAAAAGATAAAACATGAAAAAAAAATCCCTTAAATGTATAATGTAATAACAAAGTTATTTGTTTCAAATAAATCTTTAATTATAATTCAAAAATTTTCATACAAATTTGTTTTTAAAGAAATTGAAAAAAACAAGGTAAGTTTGCTTTAGTTTTAAAAAGTGGGGGGATATAATACAGAATTCTAGACCGATCTAAAATGGAATTATTATTATTAAATATCTTGGTTAATTAACATCAGTAAAAGTGCTATATTCGGCTATGCCGATTCTTATATTCCCTCCATAAAACCATATCTCGTAATATTTAAGTGTATTTAAAAAATTTGGAACCAGATATGGACTTAGATCATTGAAAATCATTTACATTGTTATTATTTACAACAGTTTACTCAACTATTAGATTTAGGCTGAATTTTGTTATATAACATTGGTACTAATATATATGAACTTTAGGATGATTTTCGGAATAGGGGCTTAATGAGATCTTGGGTCATTTATAAATTTAAAGAGCGAGAGTTGAAAAGAAATATCCCAGCTAGCATTTTTTTTTAATTTTTGATAACATTCGAGACATTTATGACTCTTCTGCACGATTAAAATGATCACATATGCGCTCATTTTCTTATCAAAAATGATACATTTGTCGGGAGAAAATGGTACCCTATCCGCGACTCTTCTAAAAAATTAATTTATGCTGCCCCCCTTCTGATCACTTCCGACTCATTTTTATATCAAGATCATTTTCGAATAATTTTTTAAGCGCTCAACTTATTGATCCCCTTTAGGACACCAAAAAGAGTCAAAAATGACTCAGTTTACTAATCAATCATCTTACAATATTCCAATTGCTAGCTGGGAGTTTTTATAATTTTATTATAATATTAAACCATTTACGAATAAACAAATATTTATGTGGATCCATTATAAACCGATCTAATTTTCTGAAGCGAAGCTTATATGGAGGATAGGGTCAATTATGGACCTATCATCAAACGATATAGTACAGAGATGTATGCTCTAATAGGACTTGTTTATGTCAAAATTCATCCCAATACAAAGGTTTTAAGTAGCGTTAAAGTAATTTTATGTAGTGGACCTTATATGGGGGATAGGGTCAATTTTGAATCAATCATCACACAATTTGTCTTCTCATGTCATCGCTGTACAGTTATTTTGAGTTATATGGGGATAGGGTTAATTATGGATCGATCATCATACACTTTGATAGAGAGATTTCGATACACATCGAAATTATAGTTGTAATATATTATATATATTATATATATACATATATATACATATATGTATATTCTGGATCCCTATTAGATTTTAAGACGATCTAGCAATGTCCGTCCGTCTGTCTAATGAAGTCGAGATAGGTCCTAAACGGAAGGAACTAGAAAATTTTTCGGAGTAATATATACTAAACTTGGAACGATACACAGAAGATTAGCATGGCCCTGCACTAGGATGACACGCATAATCGTGAAACGTTCTACATTTTTTCTACTAAGAAGAAGTTTCAGAGATCAGCATGGATTGGAATAAAAGGGTCTCTAAGAACTAGTTCTTCAGAAGCTCTGATTATTATATTGCATATTCTACCTACAGATCTGCATATAATGGGATATATGTATCTGCTTGAAGCGCAAAGTCAGAGTTCTTTTAGGAGCGAGTGGTGTAGTGGTAACCTACGAAGCGAATATACCAACAGAATCTTTATTGATAGTTCTAAAATTACTGCGGTATTGGTTCTGGTGTCTTCTGTGTAGAAGCTGGGACAAGCATCTCTCACCGTCTTACCAACAACTGTAGTGTTGGCTGAAACATTTGCGAAAATGTCAGAATGTGGGGTATATTTGTAGCAACATAGCAATTAGTCAGACAATGCTAGAAGGATCTGTCAAGGCTGGATCAACTGTCTGACATTACCTTTGTTTGGTTCCCTGCGCATAAAGACTATTATTTAGTAGCAACTCCGTTAGGTTTTTTCAAAAGCAGTATCTTCAGATTCTTTAATCAGAAGGCTGAAAAGATGGAATGGAAGATGGAAGATGGCCGCCTTTCAATGAGAAACGCATAAAACACCTTATAACCCGAAATAGGCGGGATATATCGATGTTGATAGCAGTAATAACGGGACACTGGATGCTAGGCAGACATGCAAGTCGGCTTGTACTCCCCTTCAGTTGCAAAGACAGGGAAAAAGAAGAAAGGTCTTCCATTTTCTCTGTGAATGTCCTCCCCTAGCCGGTAAGAGAAACAGTTTTCTTGGCAATAACTTCATATCCAACCTTGGTGAGATATCTGGGTCTAGACTTAATGACATCTTGAAATTTCTCACGGCTACAGGCTGGATCTAATACTATACAATACTACATCTGACGAGTGGAGTGGTCTTGTCAAAACGGAGTCCCTTTGACTCTACTTGACTGTTCGCGTGCGCGTTGAACTACCGATAAGCAACCTATTATCTATTGATAGACAATGATTGATATTGAAAATTTGCTATATCGGTTCACGATTTCACCCAGCCCCCATACAAATGGTCTCTGGAATATTGTCAAAATATGTATAAATATATGGATTATGGCAAGAACCTTGAATTTAGTTAAATGCAGCCCGGAATTGTATTGACCCTAGACCCCATACAAGGCCATCTTCTGAAAATGATATTAAAGTTCACAACTAGCATTCGACATAAACAAGTTCACAATAGATCAGCTTTTCTTAAAGAAAATCAGTTTAATCTAAATCGTTCAAAATTATGGTATTAAGACAAAATTTTATAGAAATTCAT